ACCAGCCTGAGCTACAAAGTGAGCTCCAGGTCAGTTTCAACTACATAGTGAGACCCTATTTCAAAAAAAAAAAAATCTAGAGGACAAAGGTTTACCACTCAAGACTCTCCTCATGGACAATGCTCCTGCTCACCCAAGAGATTTGGAAGAATTGGCTGAAAAATTCCCAGGGTTCTCAATAGAATTCCTTCTACCTAACACAACTCCTCTACTGCAGCCTATGAACCACTAGGTTATAGCTAACTCTAAGAAGCTATAAACTATTCCTGAAGTACTTCCAGATTACCTCAAATACAGATTTAACCCTTAAAGAGTTCTGGAAGGAACATTACAACTGCTCCCTTTATGGACGCTGAACTCTGCCTGGAAGAAAGTGTGGCCTAAAATTATACAGGAGAGAGGCTTTGGAGGCTGTGTAGAGGAGCCTGAGCCTTCAGTCGACCCTGTGGTTGAGGACAGTCCCTGTTACTACAGCAGAGCCATAGGCTAGCAGGTAGACAGTGGTGATGTTGAGGAACTGGTGGAAGGACACTCAGAGGAACTGTCTACAGAGGAACTTCCGCAACTTCTGGCTGAGCAACAGAGAATGGCAGCTGAGGAACCTTCTGAGGACAAGGGGCAGTATCAACAATCAGTGCAGCAAAGTTCTGAAATAAAGGAAATCCTGAAAAATGGAGAGCTACAAACATTTGTAGAGAAGACTCACCCAGACAGAGAAAAAGCCAATCACTGCATTCATTTGGTTAATGACAATGTCATGTCATACTACAGAAAAGACAGAAATGGATAACCTTAGACCAGTTTTTAGCTCTGAAAACACCCAGTGAGCCAGAAGCAGGAACCAGTGGGTTACAGATTCTCCCAAGGAAAGAAACACCACTAGAGGGCCAGATTCTTGATGTTCTAATGGAAAGAGACTCTCCTTCCAAATAATAACCACTTTTCATTTCATCTGCCCTTCCTGAAAGCCAAAGATGTCAATTTGAATGTTGAATACAGCATGAAATTATCATTTCTGGTAACTAGACACATTTTATAACTTTTTGGTAAATACACTACGAAAATTATTGGTGTTTCTGGTAATTTATGCATCTTATACAACCCTTTTCATTATGAAAAGATTAGGGGTCAGGGATTTAGCTCAGTGGTTCTGCTGCCTGCCTCACAAATGCAAGGACCTGAGATCAATCCCCGGTACCAAAAAAATAATAATAATAAAATCGTTATGAAAAGGTTAGTTAAGGGATGCTTTGGGAATTTGAGAATGCGTTACGGCTATTTCCATTATTTCATAAGAAAAAGTCTTACGTTACAACAAATCTGAGTTACAACCAGCCCTTGCAAATGAATTTAGTTCATTCACTGTACTAAAAAACTAAAGATTAGAGCACCAATATTGAGACAAAAAAACAAACACAAAGGAATGAATAAAGAGGCGGTTCAAAATAGACTTATCCAAATCAATGTAATTAGAAAGGAAAATGGTGAAATCACAGCACACACCACAGAAACCCAGAAAATTAGTAACTACCCTGAAAACCTATACCTGTACTCCCAATAAACTGGAAGAAATGGGTAAATTCCTAGATACAGACGAATTACCAAACTGAACCAAGACATAGCCCTGAATAACCCAAAAACAGGCAATTAACTAAGGCAGTAATTAAGAGAAAAAACCTCCAACTAAGAAAAAGCCCACTACCCAAGAGTCAACACTGAATTTTACAACTTCAAGATTTAACACAATACTCTACTCCTCAAAGCAATGAAAGTGAAAGAAAAAGTACTGCCAAACTCATTCCTGGATGCCAGCATTGCCTTGATTCCAAATCCAGACAAGGACTCAACTAAAAAAGACAACTATAGGCCAATCTCTTTAATGAACATAGATACAAATGACCCTCAACAAGACACTGGCAAACAGAATGCAACAAATCATGAAGATCATGTATAACTGATGCAGTAGGTGTCTCACCAAGGATGCAAGAATGGCTTAACGAAAGCCAATCAATTCATGTAATAGATGACGTAAATTACACAGGACAAAAAATTACATGACCATCAAAACAGACAGAAAAAAGCCTTTGACAAAATCCAACATTGGTCCACAATAAAAGCCTGAATAAAATAGGTATAAAAGGACCTTATCTCAATCTGATCAAAACCATTTACTATAACCTACTTCCAGCATCATATTACACCAGGAAACAGCAAAAGCTTTTCATTTAAAATGAAGAACAAGGCCAGGATGATGTCCACCACCACCATTCTGTTCAACACAATACTTGAAACTTTACCAGAGCAATCAAGTAAGAGAAGGAAAAGGGACATGTATTGGTAAGGAAGAAATCAAATTATCCTATTAACTGATGACATCTTCCTTTTACACAGAGGCCTAAAAAAATTCCACCAAAAGACTCCTAGAACTAATAAATTCAGCAAGATACAAAAACACACAAAAATCAATACACCAATAATGAACCCACTGAAACAGAAATTACTAAGTCAATACCACAATAGCTTCAAGAAAAATTCAATAAAACACAACACATAGAAATTAACCTAACACAAAAGAAGTGAAAGGCTTCTTGATGAAATCTGTAATATTCTGAAAAAGGATATTGAAGAGGGTATCAGAAAAAGGAAAGATATATCCCATTTCTGGATAGGCAGAACCAATACAATGGTAACTTTGTTCACCAACTTAATTCTTTCCACAATTCTAGTTGTAAAACGTACTGGGAGGGAAGTGAATCAAATTTCCCCATAAGGTCAACATTGAATCTAACCATTGAATTAGATTCAGTTCTCATCCAAAGTGGAAAACATCAAGTTCATGAACCAAAGTAAGACTGTATTATCAAAATGGCCATGGGCCAGGGATTTATCTCAGTGGTGCCACTGCCTGCCTCACAAGCACAAGGTCCTGAGTTTGATCCCTGGTACCAAAATATAAGAATAAATAAATAAATAAGTGGCCATACTTCTAAAACTGACACAGATGGGGGGGGTACCAGGGATCAAACTTGGGTCCTTGTGCTTGCAAGACAGGCAGCGGAACCACTAAGCTAATCCCCGGCCCAACATGACAATAAATTCTAATAAAAATACTAACAGCATTCCTCACAGAACTAGAGAAAACAATCCTACAACTCAAAAGGAACCAAAGGACACCCAGAATAGCAAAAGCAATTCTGAGCAACAATAGTAAAGCAGAAAACATTATAATCCCAGATTTCAAATTACTGTATATTACAAAGCTAAAGTGGTAACAGCATGATACCAGCACAGACTGGCATGTGGGTCAGTGAAAGAGAATAGTCTATAGAAACCTGAGGCATAGTCATCTAATCTTTCACAAAGGGGCCAAAAACATACACTGGAGGAAAGACAGCCTCTTTAACAAATGATGCTAGGAAAACTGGCTATAAACATGCTGAAGATTAACTCTAGGCCTGTATCCCTAACCATGCACTAAACTACAATCAAAATGGATCAAAGATCTAAGTATGAAAACAGAAGCAATCTGCTGGAATATAAAATAGGTAAAGTTTTTGAAGATGTGGGTGTAGGCAAAGACTTTCTGAGCAGAATCTCAACTGCACAGAAACTAGCATCTAGAATTAGCAAAGATTATACAAAATTAAAAAGCTTCTGCACAGCAAAGGAAATAGCCAAAATGAGACAACATACAGAATGGGAAAGTTTGCCAGCTACTCCTCTAACATAACTAATATCTAGAACATATAAAAAAATTACTGTAACCCCCTCCCAAAATAAAAGACCCAATCAAAAAATGGGCAACTAAAATGAATAGACATGTCTCAGAAATAGAAAAGGCCAATAAATACATGAAACAATGTTCAACATCTCTGGCCATTAGAGAAATGCAAAGTACCCTGAGACTCTATCTTACTCCAGAAAGAATGGCTATGATCAAGAAATCACTATCAAGTAACAACAAACAAGGGTGAAGCTGGTGGGGGAGGTGTTTAATGTTCTACAATGCTGACGGGAATGTAAACTAGTACAATCACTATGGCAATCAGTATGGAGAGTCCTCAAATAACTAAAATCAGAAATTCCATTCAACCTACCAGTTCACCTTCTAGGTATCATCCCAAGAGTTAAAGATGACACATTATAGTGATACCTGCAATGTTTATTGCAGTACAACTCATAATAGCTCAATCTTCAAAGTGGCCTATGTCCATCAACAGATGAATGGATAAAGAAAATGGTGGCATTTATACATAATGGAGCACTACTCTGCCATGAAGAAGTCATTTGTGGAAAAACGGATGCACCTTGAGACCATAATTTTAAATGAAATAAATCAGACACAAAAGCTTAAGTACTATGTGGTTTCTTATATAAGAAATGCAAAATATAAATAAAGATGCAAAATGAAAGACAGATAATAGAAACAGGAGACAGGTCTTTTCAAATGGGGAGGAGATCAACAGAAATAGGGAGATGGGACAGACAGGCGGATAAGGGAACATAAAAAGAATTAAGATGTGTTATATACACATATCAGCTCCCAACGATGAATGTAACCACTATGTACTACAAACATACTAATTAAAAAACAAGAAAGTAATGGCATGAACCTAGCTAATTATGTATTTAGAAATAAAGGCAACTTACTATTGTTAGCATTAGATTATGAGGAAAGCGAATGGATGTAACTATCTTCCTAAAACTAACACAGGTGTTAACAAAACAAGCCAACAAAAATAGTTAATACTTACTTTGTTTTAGAAAGAATCAAACAGATGTTCCTCAAAGAACAGAGTATGTCCATAATGGTACATATTTCTACAACCCATTGTCAAGATAATATTTTCTAATATGCAGTAGGATACTTATTTCCAAAAAAATTCATCTATCTTAAGAAATCTTGAGGCCGGGGATTTAACTCAGCGGTTCGGTGGCGGTTCAGTGGCCAAGGACCTGAGTTCAATCCCCAATACCAAAAGAAAAAAAGAAATCTTTACCTGATTTGTAGGCATTTTCGGCACATTTACTTTCCACATCTGGGCTTCCCTAGAGATTGCCTTTTCCAATAAGAAAGACAATCTCTGGTTTTCCAAAGGTCCTGGAAACTTCATGATATCCTTTGGATCTGCCTGCCACCCAGCTTGATGTAACTACCTATAAAATCAAATATAAATAATGCTCATTATTTAATTACAGGATAAGTGTAATATATACATGCTGGTGCTTATTAAGCAATTCATAAAGAAAAATAGGAATGTTATAAGGCAATATAAGATTTTATGATTCTTTAAAACTGTTATAATAATCAGCTAAGACATTCTCTTTAAATCTGAAATTCAGTCATAACAAAAATAAAGCCATTTAACAGAACCTTTGAATTCTAACCAAAATGTTACTACCATCTAAAACTGGCAAAAATTTTTAAGCTACTAGCTTTTTAATGCTAGGAATTTTTAGAAATCATTGTCCCAAACCTTCCTAAAAAGCAGAGCCATTAATTTTTTTCATTTAAAAAGCTATATCAATTACAATTAATCCAATCCATTCCCACTTCCTCACAATGAAAGAATCAAACTGTGGTTCAGGTCTGGGGATATAGCTCAGTGGTACAGCATATGTACAAGGACGCTAGGTTTAACTCCCAGCACCATGGGGGAGAAAACTGTGTGTCCACGTATGGCTATTTAAATTTTATTTGAATAGTTAAAAACAGACTACCTGAACCCCTACTTCAATAATGTGGCTAACGGATACTGTCCTGGACAGTGTAGAAAATTTCTATCAATGCAGAAAGTTTTATTGGATAGCATTTGATCTAGAAGGCTCAACAGTAGAGTTAATGGTGCTTTAAAAAGCAAGCCTGGGGCTGAGGATTTAGCTCAGTGTTTCTGGTGCCAGCTTTGCAAACGCAGGGACCGGGGTTCAATCCCCAGTACTACCAAAAAAAAAAAAAAAAAAAAAAAAAAAAAAAAAAAAAAAAAAAAAAAAAAAAAAAAAAAAAAAAAAAAAAAAAAAAAAAAAAATCCTAGAATGGGGATTTAGCTCAGTGGTGCCACAGCCTGCCTTGCAAATTCAAGGTCCCAAGTTCAATCTGTAGCACCAAAAACAAAAAACAAAAAACCTTGGTACAAAAACAAAAACAAAGGGTTACAACTGTAGATGTGTTCCAGATTAAATGAGGACACAGAAAAATATAAGCACAACATTGTACCTACCCTGACTGACTCCTGTACTAGAGGAAGACAAATACTAAAAGGGTCATTACTTGTTCAAATGACACAAATACCGACAGTAAATTGTGCAAAACTAAATCAAAGCTAAATTTACTAAAATTAAAAACTCTACTGTGATTCTGTAAGAGCATATCCCTATTCTTAGGATGTGTACATTGATAATTTTAGGATTATCATATATAGTACATGCAACCTATACAAGGAGAGAAAAAAAGAAAACAAATGTTAACAGGTAAATGTGGGTAAAAGAATTGTTTGAAATTACTTATGAGTGTAGAAACAGCCAAAATATTCATAATGTATAGAAGTCAGTAGTTTTCCCTCTTTTTATAAGACCAGCAAGACAGATACTATCATACAAAGATATAGGCTTCAGTTTTTACTTTTTTTAAGGTCAGTGCACAAGCCTATTTTATAATATATAACAGATAAGATTGCATGAATAAATCCTGCTAGGGAATAAAACAGACACTTAAAATTCAACTTATTTTTTAACATAGGCTTTATAATTTTATCTCATTAATGTATATCCACTCATAGTCATATGTAGAATTTTGATTGCTTTTTAGTTTCTAAAAACAAAGACTATACAGGTTTAGTATACCTTATCCTAAATCTGTGAAATCAGAAGTTTTTCAGATTTTTTTTAATTTGGGGATATCTGAATACACAAAATGTGCATGGGACCAAACAAGCAGGAAGTTCACTTACATACAACTTACACACGTAGTCTAAAGGTAATCAGGCAAGATTTCAATAATCTTGTACACAAAACAATTTCAAGATGTGGAATTTCCAACTTGCAGCCTCTGGTCAGAATTCAAAATGTTTAGGTTTTGGAGTATTTCATATTTTGAAATTAGGAATGCTCAACATGAATTGTTTGGCATATTCCAAAGACAACTTTAAGATAGTTTTATTTCTTCTTTCATTCTCTCAACTGCATCTTCTACGGTTTTCTACATGCTTACTGAACAGCCTAATTTCTGAGTGAAGTTTATAAAATGCTTTACCACACAGCATAAACTGTACCACAGATGGTGATTTAGCGCAGTGGTACTGCCACCCTCCCTCGCAAACCAAGTCTGGAGTTCCCTGGTACCAAAAAACAAATAAACTATTACTGATACGTGTACAGGAGAGTCTCTTCTGAGGAAAAGTGTGGTACTGCGCTGGGTATGCAATATGTAAACAACTTCACTAACAATTACTGCATTTATGATTATAACACCAACTCTGGGTACTTAGTTCTTCCAAAAAGAGCAATTTATTGTGACCCTATAAGAACCTAATATTCTATTATTCACTCTTTGACTTTAAGCATTAGTAAATGAGTAATGAGACAGTACAGGGAACTCTTAATTCCAAAAGTGTGCTCATTCACTCCCTGCCTCCATGCTTTTCATTTACTGTTCTACTTCAAATGTCCTTCTCTCCTTCACACTCTCTTACCTAAAGTTGGCATGAATCCATAATAGTTGTACCCTGCCTTCCTACATGTCTGAATATAATTTTACTTCTTCTGCTTTAATTGCTCTGTGATTATTTGTGGACCCGCCTTTTCTATTAAACCATGAGTTCCTTAATAGCAAACAATCTCCAAAGTTCAGCATTGAGCAAGCAAGGTTACACTTGAATACTTAGCATGTATTTGGTCACTACTGTCCAAAAGTGCTATATGTCACATTAACTTACGTAATCCTTATTAAATTGGAATTATTAAACCCATTTTAAAGATGAATACGCTCTTAACGTATTACACAATCAAAGTAAAGCACAGTGCCCAATTCGGACCAGGACACAGGTTAGATTCCCGCTTTAACCTAGTAGGTCACATTACGACATACACTCGTTATCTGTAACTACATCATGTCTACTATATGCCGTCCCACCAAGCTGCATCACACTATTAACAAACCAATATTGAGGGCTGGGGGTTTAGCTCAGTGGCACTGTGCTTGCCTTCTAAGTGCAAGGTCCTGAGTTCCTCCACAGAACCAAAAAAAAACAAAAAACAAAAAGTTGGGCCAGGGATTTATCACAGTGGCAGCGCGCCTGCTTGGCAAGCGCAAGGTTCTGAGTTCGATCCCCAGCACCGAAAAAAACAAAAGAAACTTTTCTATTCTAGGATATCAAGACTCTGGTCTCTCTAACACCAGATTAGCCAATTTAAATCTTGTCCACTCTGTCTTAATCCATTTGTCCGTTCTTTTCTGTGGCAGATAAACTCCCACAAATAACCTGGAAGAGCTAGAAACCGGTAACACTACTGTTAACCTTTTGAACAAATTCATCTTCAGGACAGGGACCACGTAGCATAAGAGACTGAATTCTGGCCATGGGCTTCTGATACCTAAAAGATAACTAAAAAAAAAAAAAAGGTCTTTTAATCTTGTGGAGTCTCAAGTTTCCTTGTGTTTTAGGAGGCTCCATCGGGTCCTTGCGAGAATGAAATGAGTTGCAAACCAGGAAGAACAGTGCCTAGCAGATAATAAACCTCCCCAAGTGCTAGGCTCAAGTGCTGAGTGGCTCTCCACCGACAGAGTAAAAACAATATGTTTCCTCGACCCTCAAAAACCTCCGGTCTCAATCTGTCCTACCTCCCGGCAAGCTACCTTTCACTAGCTTGCTACCCAATTCTCAACTTCTGCAATAATGATCTGCAACGGAACCCCGGGTTTTTACCTGTCCTTCAGGGTGCAACTCAACGCTCACCTCTTCTACAGCCCACGCAACCCCGGGCAACGCTCTCCCCCAGCACATTTCCGCAGCACTGGCGCTTCGCCCGATCCACCCCGCTCGGCAGCCTAACTTCCAGCGGCCCCGCGGAGTCTTAGAAGTCTGAGGGTGGGGGCGAGTTCCGCCGTTCTTTATACAAGCAAACATGCTGCATCTGCAGAAAAGTTACCCGCGGACGGAAACGCTGGCCAGTGAGCGAGGCCCGCGCCGCTGCTCTCCGGCGGGGCCGGTGCGGGACACTCGACCCGGT